ATAAAGGGCCTACGAAAATACAGGTGTGGACAAACGAGTTTTATTTAAGAGTATACTTTTCCGGACAAATATTTGGACACGCAAGACTTCAGGGGATAGGTAGGGTAAGACAAGTAAGCATAAGCAAGGCATGCTTCATAATTAGTGCAGGTCAGTCTGTGACACAGCCTACTCATGCAAAACTCCAGAGAGACACAGGAACTTCACACCAGGAGCAGACACAAACGTTTTCGCAAGCGGCAACGTGCTTTTTCCAGACGTGCATTCATAATTCAGGTCCTTTTTAAAAAAAGTTTGTTGAATGTGTACCTCAACACCAGGAGCAAACAGCTGTTCTGTTCATAGCCTGACAACTGGATAAACCCTTAGGCCACAAAATTATGGCTCATCCCAGCCCCGCCAACCTCCTTGCGGTCCCACCAGCCTGTGGGTGAGTGCCTCTCTGGGCTCTAAGCTCACCTTGTATCAGCCTGCCAGCTGTGCTGAAAAGGCATAGCCTGGACAGGAATGAAGGAAACGCATGCTCAGCATCTGCTAAGGGCTTAATTATTTCTTATTAATCGGATGTAGGCTTGTTTCATTTGTTAGACCTGAGCATTGAAAAATTGTTTCCTACTTTGAGAACCCAGAAGTTGGAGATCAGAAAAGTGCTAATTGCAGTATAAGTAAAATAATCACTGGGCTGTACTGCATTTAAGCTCCAGTAAGAACCGCTACTGAGAGCTATTGCCTTGATCTTATTTGTCTGAAATCAAAGATTAGTAGCGGTGAACAGAGAGTGTGAAACACTACACTGACTGGTGCCAGTATAGTGTTTGGGCCTTACTAAAAAAAAAAAAAAAAAAAAAAAAAAAAGGCAAGTCACCCCTCTCTAAAGTGGGAGGGCAACAGAGTACAAACCCAAGCACTGGATAAGAGGCTGGCTGCTGTGGTCCATTTATTTATATCTAGCCAGTCAATACTGTTCACTCTGAAAGTAGCTGTTGTGACCCAAGTGTGTGTCAACTTAGTCTTGACTAGGTTTCCTTTTCAGAGACTTAACCTCCCTCTGCCATGCTGTAGTAACTCTTACTGATGGTGAACGGGATTGCTGGTAATGGTCGTGGGACTACCTGCTTTATTTCCACCCTGAGGCAGTTCTCTGAGCTTCATCACTCTGTTCCAGTTTACTTATATCTCCTCCCCAAGACTGAAGCTAACAGCTCTCTGCTCTCCAGCCTCAGGGAGCCCAGGATTTTCACAACTTTTTCACCCAGCAAAACAAACAGCTGAGCCACGTAGTTAGTCAGAGAGGATGGCAGCAGTTGAATCCTCAGGACATTACACATCCGGAGCAACTGGCGGACAAAGTTCCAGGTGAGAGAAGAAAGCATGGTGTACAACAGCTGGTGAAGAAAAGGAGGAAGAGAGCTGTCATGGCAATGATGTTTTCAGAAAGGGTTCAATTTTCAGTAGGATATAAATGATGTGAGACCATGAGTGCTTGTTCCCCTCCCTCACCCACTTCAGCATGAGTATTATGCCCTATAAGGGACAAGTTTAAACCCCAGTTCTTCAAAATGCTCTATTCACTTGTATATGTGAACTTATGTTCACTTGAACAACAACAGGAAAAAAGTCTCACTACACTGACTTGGTACTGCTTTGGTGGTGTTAATGAGGTCAAAAATACTTTGACTTGAGATACCACCAATTCCATGCTGAAGCTCAGCTTCAGGGTGTGCTAGTCAAACAACTGCAGCAATTTAAGATTATACCAGTCCTTCGCTATTCCAGCATAATAAAGGTTACTGCTCCAGCAATGCTGGTGGAAATAAGTGTGGGTCAATACCTCAGTTGCTGCAATTCAAAAATCCAAGCAATGTAAATGAGCAGACAGGACTGTGAATAGTGATAGTGGAGGCACAGACCAGCTTTCCCTTCTCAGCCCCTTCTGCAAAGGAACATACAGTCAAGGCACAGGGAAAGAAAAGACACACACACAAGACACTAAGGTCTTCCACTGCTTCAAACATATATTTTGGGATTCATATAAAGCCTAAGAGGATTGGGACTGCTGTGTTTGCAAAGAGACTTCTGGCTTCAGCTCCTATCAAGCAAGCGAAATATGTCTAATTTTTAGTCACCTACTCCACTGTAAGAAATCTGAAGCAGCTTTTAAAAATACATGATATCAGCCATACATACCAGGAGTTTCTATATAAAGTTGAGCTAAACCTCTTAGAGGAATAGGTAGCAATTTTCACTGTTTCAAATGCAATTATCAAGGACTTTTTAAATATGTGTATATATATATATATCTTTAAATATATGTACACACATACAATCCACATATATAATAGTTATTCTGTACTATTTTGTGTTACCTTTACCTTGTCTACAACAGGAGTCATTCCAAATAGGGAAGACAGAAAAAAATACGTTAGTCATTAACCAAACAGAAACCAACCTTGCAGCTTTCGCTTACCCAAGAGGCTGGGGAGTCAGGCAAAGGTGAAAAAAAAAAATCAGAGCAGAGGCACAAAAGCAGTTGATATGCAAAGAGGTAGCCTGGTCATGCTACTCACCATCACGATGTTACAGAGATTGTTCTTCTCACCATGGGAAGGTCTTATCTTCTGGCTCTGAGAACAACTGTCTGAGATTGCAGCAAGAAGACTTTGCTTTTCGCTTTTTGGTTTTGAACTCAGATAAGCAGGCTTAGGGCTCAGTTTTCCTAGAGATCCACTAGATTGTATCTCCTCTTGAGTTTCTATACTAGATATGTGCTTCTGGTTTTCTTCCTCCGTTGGTTCATCCTCAGCTTTAGAGTCAGAATCAGGCTCATCAGAAGATTGTTGCTTTATTTCTTCTGCACTGGGTATCTGTGCTAGAAAGATATTTAAAAAGAACATGTGAAATACCCTTATATGACTTTTTCTCACTAGCTGTAAGCCTTACATGTTCCATCTAGAAGCTGGGTGAGGTTCTTCTGAATCTTTTTCAGCGGAAATAAGGGATTTCTAAACCCAACTAGGCAATAAGAGGCCTGTACAAGTGTTTGATTTTAACCAATTAGCTCGTAATCAGCAACTATATTAAGGAGGAGCTGAAACATGCCACTTTCAACTTGTGCCTGCCATAAACTAGCACAAAATAAGTGGATATGACTGAATTAGTTATGAAGCTATTAAAAAGAGCACTGTTTTATTTTTTTTCTCTTAAAAGTGATTGAGAAACACTTTAATATTCTAATCCTGTAAGCACACTAGTATGTAAAAATTTAGTAATGTGTCTAGTCTTATTAATTAAAATAGAATTTAGAGCATTTGTAGAAATCCTTGGAGGCTTTCTGCTAATAAATCACTTTAGGACCAGAAATTGTGAAGGTAAATGCAGTAGATATAACCTGAAAATCTCACCCAAGGCATCAAGATATTCTTGAGTTACTCTGTCCAGGCAAAAAACTGACACTCAACCTAGGTGTAAGCAGGTGGCACAGCTACCCTTTACCTATACAAAATTGATATTTTATTCTGCTCTTCAGCCATCAGCAGTAAGCCATGCCTACGTTGCTCAGAGTAAGTTGTACAATTGTCACAACCTCTTACAACCTGTGCTTTTTAATTGCTATGCTCAGTTGTCTGCAAAAGTGCACCTGAGTGTGTGGAGGGAACATACTTTACTACTGCAGGAAGCAGACGCTGTTAGGAGCATCAGCTGTGTGCTAAGCCTGCAAAATAGGAGCTGAAAGTAAAAAATTCAGCATGCACACACATGCGGGACAGGAAAGGAGGGAGAGTACAAGCCTCTGCCGTGGTGAGCACCTCCTGTTCCTCTGCTGTCTGTGGGTATTGTCTCATTGTCGCTATTCCTATGGGATCTATTATAGGACTGGATACCACGTTATTACGTAAGAACAGAGGGCATGAAATAGAAGTAAAAGCTTGCTGAAGTAAATTCTTACTTTCCTTCCTACAGCTGTTCTGCAAAGGCAGAATTGCTGTTTTTGAACTTATGATTGATTCCTCAACTGGGATTGCTTATGCTCCCAGATTAGAGCAAACTAGCAAGGCTTTATCCTCCTAAGTACATCAACAAGCCTATTATTAGCCTAAACCAAAACCTGTTATTAGTTACTGACATGTTAGAAATAAGAATCACTGGTGGAGCAGAAAGAGATGCAAAACACACAAATAAATGAAAATGCACATCCTGCTCCCTTCAAAAATTTTCTGTCAGCCTCAGCATTGATAAAGGAATCCTTAACAGCTGCCCTGGTAACACCACCCCCCACCCCCCACCCCAAAAAAAAAAAAAAAAAGGTGTAAGACAACTATAATGCCTGAGTTTTAAAGTGTACAAAATTAGAGGGTTTGGTTTGCTTTCTGGGGGAATTTTTACAGAAATTTACAAAATTACTTGCCTTTCTTAAATTAAACTATCTCTGAGAAAAAGGGAGAGGATAAGGAAGAACAGATGGCAGCAGATTGTCTTCTTATGAGCATTTTTAATAGAATAATAATAGCATAATAATTTGAGTTTGGTTGTCCATATGCTACCAGCAGTACTAAAAACTCCTTTAGTTTCCTTCTAAAAATAGCTAGCAGAGTGCTTTAAAGATGAAGCCTTTATTCAGGAGCATTTTATCTGATCAACTGCAGAACTTACCTTCATTAAGTAGAAGCTGTAGCCAGATAATCATTATGATCAACAGCATTACAAATGGCAAACTAAACCAGAAAAAAAGAAGAGGAAAGGTCAGCTCATTCACCAAAGGATCCAGAGGATACTTCATTGCTTGCTTCAGTTACACTAAGTTTAGAACAGCTTGCCTGCTCCGCTTTGCTAACTACCTTTTAATAACTCTCATTGCATCACTGTGTTAATCACAAGAAGACAGCATGGGTAGCAAAAGGGACAGCTCTGTACTATGCAGGGAGGGAGTAATAAGGATTAGATACAGGATAAGAACAACTGAGAAAACATCTGATTTGATTCTCCTTCCTTCAGCTGCTATTTAAAGGATAAATACAAGTTAGGAAGCTTTCAAGGCTTATGTTACAACAATAGTTAAGGGTATGTTTATGTCTTCAGATATAGGGGAGATAAGCACTTCGGCCACGTTGAAACTGGGTAGCCAAGGTTGCTTTTGATAAATCAATAAAACAGAATCAACTCTGCAGAGATGTGTAGAGGATGACTAGCTAAAAATTTCTTCTCTCAGGCTCTCTTATTCGACATGGAGCACACATATGTCACATATTAACATGGACTCTATTTTTAGTCTACTCTCTGTGTTTCCATCTATTAGTTAAACCATTAGGAAAATAAACCTTTGTATTTTAATTGCCTTTCTATCCCCCTTCCCTCCAAGAAAGGCAAGCTAGCATGTTTCATAGGATATGTGCCTGTAAACATATTGTTTAATAAGAAAGGAGTTTGGTAGTCATCAAAGTAGGAACAGATATGTGACTTTGGTAACTTGATATTCATCACACTGTGTGTTTCTCCTACAATAAAATAAAACCATTATCTATCGCTTACCTCACAGAGGGTTGTTTAGCTAAATTAATTGTTTGTGTAGCTCTCAGTAGACCTTAGAAGAGAGCAGCTATGTAAGTGCACATTATGAATGATTGC